CGCCAGCAGCCCAAACGCCCTCCTCGTCTGGCACATCCGACGGAACGTGGCTGCTGGAACCGCGACCACCTGCCCCGTTTGCCGCCTGCCTGGCAAACCGTCCTCCTGCGCCCCCGGTTGGCTCCGCGTACCCACTGGGCGCTGGGTCCGGGACTGGGCACGGAACCCGAGGGAGATCTCCTCCGACGACTCCATCCCCCCCGTCTCCGCTGCTTCTGCCCCCTCCTCAACTCCATTTGGGGACACCGCCAGTCGACGGGGTGGCACGAAGGGCCCATACACCCCCACACCCGACGCACGGGCGGGAAGCCCAGGAGCCCAGTGATAGGGGACGAAGGACTGCGGAGGTGGTTGCCACTCGGGGAGCGCTCCACTGGAGGCCGCCTGTGTGTCCAGTGTGGGAGGCGCCATGGGAAGACGAGCCCCGCGGTACACAGGCGGCGGAGGTCCCAGGAGCGCCGACGCCGGCTGGAAACACACGGGCGCACCCGCCGGAAACAGCGACGGCGGATGCGGAGGGGCGAGGAGAGGCGGGAACGGATGACACGGACGCGGATGCAACGCACCGGGCGCGGTCTGTGCAGCCCCTCCCATCGGCGCGGTCGAAGCAAGCGCCTGAACGCCACTTAGAATGCCTTCAAGGGTCCGCGCGCTGGTCGCCAGCTGGCGCTCAAGAGCCGCCGTCCGTGCGGCAAGGCCGGCGCGACGGCCGCGACGCGGTCCAGCACGGCCGCCGCCCCCAGGAGTCCCCCAGGGCTGCGCAGCAGGCGGACCAAGACGGCCCGGAGATCGGCGGGGAGCCGGCTGCGGGGGGGAGAGTGACGCGACGGCAGCTGCAAGGACGGCAGCGGCTCGGTCCGCCGCTGAGGCAGAGCGTGGGATGGTGGCGACGGCGACGAACGACGCGACGGCTGACGCGGGGACGCCGGACGCGACGGCGGACGCGGGGAGGCGGGACGCGACGGACGCCGTGGGGACGACTAGCCCGAACGCAGACAGGGGGAGGGCAGCCGAGACGGCGGGCGCGGTGACGGCGGCCGAGACAGCGGGTGGCGAGGCGACGACCCCGCTGGGCCACCGCTACGCTCTGCGCGCTCGGGCCCCAGGGTCCCTCCCTGCTCGCCGCGCAGAGCAGGCGCCGCCGAACCACTCCCCGCACGGGAACACACGGGGTCTGGCGACTGCCGCTGGCTTCGGAGAGCGGGGATCCCCCGCTCCCACAACAGCGCGGAGTAGGCGGCCGAGCTCGCCAGATCTTGGGGGCGCCCGCTATCAGCAGAGCTCGACAGATCGGCGGATCGCCCCTGACGGCCGCGAAACCCCCCTTCGCTTCCCATCGAGCTCTCACCGCCGCACCCCACCGACGGCAGGGACGCGCCTCGGGCCGCGACAAACGCCGCGAGGAGACCCGGGACGGGGTGGAGGCCAACGGAGAGAGCGCAGCAGGGCAGACGAGCTCACGGCAGGGGGAGGGCCAGTGAACGACTTCCAGAGGGCTGCAGGACGGGCTTTAAGGGCGAGACGGAGGGAACAAGCAACTGACGAGGAGGAGAGGAGGGACCCGACTTATAGAGCGGAACCACAGTACGAGTCAAGCACTGAGGGATCCGAAGGGGACGCTCGAGACGGAGCATTTCGGGGACAAGCGTCGCGACGCACACGGCACGCCCCAGCTCCCGCGGCTGAAAACAGGCCGAACGCACGGAACGAGCGGGACCTCACAGAACAGCCCAGCCAACCCCAGCGACAAATTCCGCCAGCAGAGCTAGCCGCCAACGAATAGCTTTTCGCGGGGGTAGCCAGCTGGGATATCGGGCTCCTCTGCGACAGTCGCCAACCCCCCCTTTCCCGCAAGATCCCCCCCAAACTTCGCCAGCTTTTCGCCCTCGTCCTGCTGACACCCCTCCTCCACCTCGCAGCCCAACCTACCAGCCTGCCAGGCTGGCGCCTGTTACTTTTCGCACCTCGACTGACACTTCGCCTCAACTCGCCAAAGCACCCTGACTGGCCCACTGTGGAAAAAAGGCTCCAGCAGTTCCTGGCAGGCGATTGGCACGAGCTTTACCTGGCAGCAGTGGACGCCATCCACGACCCACCGGCGCCACGTCACACAGGGGACGCCCTCGGCAAAATATCTCGAGCCGAGGGGCTGGTCCGCCGAGGCAGCCTGAGGCGCGCCCTGCTGGCCCTCGACTCGACACCGGTCAGCGAGTCAACCCAGGAAGTCCTCAAGGCGTTGAAAACCAAGCATCCACCGCCGCTGACTGAGTCACTCGCTTGGCCACACATCGACGAGTCGGAGGTCCCCCCCTCCCTCACGCTCGCAGAATTCACCAGGTTACTGAGTCGCAGCGAAAACGGGGTCGGCGCGGGCCCCTCGGGAATGTGCTTCGAACACATTCGCGATGCAGCCCTCGCCAACAGCGCCGTCGCCAGCAAGCTCCACATCCTCGTAACTCAATTGCTGCGGGGCGACTCCACTCCTGACGTAGCAGCACTCCTCACAGCCAGCCGCCTACTCGCCTTCCCTAAACCCGACGGAGGCACGCACCCCATCGCCGTGGGCGAGTGCCTCCACCGCCTTGCCGCCAAAGCAGGACTCATCTCGATGGCGGATCGGGCGCGCAATCACTTTCTCCCACTGCAGTTCGGCGTCGCGGTAAAGGCCGGCGGAGAGGCAATAATCCACGGGGCCCGCGCGTTTGCCACCGAGCGACCATCCTCGCTCCTACTACAGATCGACCTCACCAACGCTTTTAACAGCGTCGATCGCAGCGCCATCGTCTCAGGCCTCTATAACTCCCCCCTCCGCCCTCTCCTACCCTTCGTCCAACTCTCGTACGGCGCCCCCTCCCAGCTGTACCTCGACGCCGGCTTCAACAGCCCGCCCCTGCTCAGCGCTCGAGGCGTCCGGCAAGGGGACCCTATGGGTCCGCTGCTCTTTGCCGCCGCCATGCACCCCGCCCTGCAAGCGACCGCCGCAGCGTACCCCAGCGTCCTGTGCCTAGCGTACGCTGACGACATCACGTTGCTAGGCGAGCCGGCAGTGTGCACAGCGGCGTTCACGCACCTCACTGACGCTCTGACCCCCCTGGGCCTCACGCACAACCCATCTAAGTGCGCGGCCTGGTCCCAATCCCAACCTCCTCCCTCCCTCCTACCCCCCAGCATCCCGTTCCGCGACTCTGGACTGCGGGTCCTGGGCAGCCACATCGGCCCCCACGAGGCTGCGGCTCAGTTCCTGCGCGAGCAGCTGGCTGACATGGCCAGGCAGCTCCCCGCCCTCGCCGCCATGGACCCCCAGTCCGCCTCCCTCCTCCTCCACCGCTGCGTCTCGCGGCGGGTATCTTACCTCACCCGCACAACCCCACTGAACCTGCTCCCACAGGGGGAATGGTCCATTTGGGGGCGGGAGCTCTTCCTTACCCTCCTCCGCTCCTGCAAACTCCAGACACCACGGGGAGAGCGGGAACTTGCACGCACCTGGGAGCAGGCCTCACTCCCACCCTCCCTAGGGGGCCTGGGCTTAGTGGACCCAGCAGTGGACGGTCCACATGCGTTCTTGACCAGCGTGGCCCAGGCGCACAGGCTCCTGCTCTCCCTCCCCTCGGACCCCACCGGCCCCTTGGCGACCGCCGCATGTGCTCTCGCACCCCCCTACACCAGCCCCACCCCACTTCACACCTGGCTGGCGGAATGTGAGGCAGCACTCCCGGCCCCGGCCCTGGAGCTCCTGCGAGCCGAGCGCCTGGAGCCCTCAGACGAGCCCCTCCAGCACCGACTCGCCCTGGAAGTCCACGCGGCACGGTTTGCTGCTCTGCTGGCGGCCACCCGGGAGATGGAACTCAACCCCAAGAGCGGCCACACACAACGGCTCCTCTCCCTCACTGGTTATGGCGCAGGAGACTGGCTCCTCGCTATCCCACTCTTCCCCTCCCTCCGCCTCGCCCCCCCGCACTTCGCCATAGCCCTGGCATTCCGCCTGGGCCTCCCCTTCCCCGCACCCAAGGTGTGCAACTGCACCAAGCGGGTACAGATCCTGGACCCACGACTCCCGAACCACCTGTTCCGCTGTGGGACCGGACACGGCCGCACCGACACCCATAACGCACTCAGGGACGAGTGCATCCGCATGGCACGGGACGCCCAATTCATCGTCACCAAAGAGACGGCGATCTACAACCCGGTCGACGGCAAAACCGCCGACCTTGCCATCCAGGATCGGGACTCGGGGGCGGTGTGGATCTGCGATGTCACCGTCACCGACCCGGTCAGCTCACGAGACCCGCTAGCCCGTAAAGGCCGCGGCTACATGGCCAGAGAGCAGGCCGACAAAAAGATCGACGACTACCGCAGCCGGGCGGAGCACGTCGGTTTTTTCCCGCTGGCGGTAGAGACATACGGCTGCCCCTGCGCCGAGGTGCCCACCTTCCTCCAACTCCTGGCACACACGGCCGCCCGCCGCCTTTTCAACGCCGACCCCAGCTCCTACCAAGCCGCAAAACTGCTCAGCCAGTTCCGGCAACGCTGGTCCATCACACTCCAACGGGGACAAGCGCTCTCGTACCTGGGGAAGGTGAACGAGGCCTCTCCCCTTGAGTGGCCCCCCTCGGGCGCCCCGGACGCCTGCATGTCCCTTGGAGACTGTTTTGCAGTGATAGAGCACCAGGGCGAACGAGAGTAGAAGGGGTCCCGATAGGAGACTCACCTGAGCCGAGACACCAGTTTGTACCAATCCGGCATGCCTAGTTTGTACCCAGGATTGCCCATCAACGACGGACCGTTCGAGAGAGAGAGGGAGAGAGGGAGAGCGGGAGGGAGAGAGGGAGAGAGGGAGAGAGGGAGAGAGGGAGAGAGGGAGAGAGGGAGAGAGGGAGAGAGAGAGAGAGAGAGAGTGAGAGAGAGAGAGAGAGGGAGAGAGGGAGAGAGGGAGGGAGAGAGGGAGAGAGGGAGAGAGGGAGAGAGGGAGAGAGGGAGAGAGGGAGAGAGGGAGGGCAAACCTGGAATAGTGCGAGAACGAGGGCGATGAGGGGAGCAGAGAAGGCGAAACCGTCTAGCACTCCTTGTAACGATGGCTGGAACCCGCCCGACCAATCGAGACCCGCCAACCGTGCTCCAGCTACGGCTGCTGCTGCTAACCCGGCATAAGTGGCTGGGGAGGGGGGAGAGGGGGGGATGGGGGGAAAGGGCGAGAGATGGAAATAGAGTCTGTGCAGAGGGGGAGAGATGGAGGGGGGATGGGAGAGGGGGGTGAGAGACGTTGGGAAAGAGGAAGAGTAAGGGTGGGTCCGATTGAGGAGAAGCAGGATGACCGGGAAAGTGCAAAGAAGATCTGTGTTAGGAAAACCGAGAGGGATGTTGGGTGGGAGAAGTATGAGAAGGCATTGAGGCAGTATGGGAAAAGGCCCTGAGGCAGTGGCACGGCTCTGTACGGTTATGATGAGGGAAGAGTGTGGATGGTTACCTGTTCCGTAAAGAAACCGAAAGAAGGCACTGACGCGGGCTGAGGGACCGGATGACTGGTATGGCTGATGGGGGGAGAGGGGGGAAATAGTGGGGAGAGAGTGGGGAGGGAGACATGCGATTGAGAGCGTGGTAGGAAAGGGGGAAAGAAAGAGAGGGGGGAAAGGAAGAGAGAGGGGGGAGGGGGAAGAACGAGAGCGGGAGCCACGCTGTGGAACAAGGAGAAGGAAGACACTGGAGGGTACTAAACGAGGGGGGAGTGGGGGACGAGAGCGGGAGCCGAGGAGTGAAATCGGGGAGAGCACACACGCAACACACGCAACGCACACGCAACACACACGCAACACACACCCGCTGCAAAACGCGCGCCCGTTGCGGAGGGATCGCCCCCGCGCCACCCTGTGTCTCCTCCGTCTCACTCCCCGCCGCGCGCACTCTCACAACGCCCGCCCTCCCCCCCGCGCTTCCCCTCCCCCTCGGGGCGAGGGGGATGGGGGGGAGGGGGTGTATACACAAGCTGCCAGGGGAAGTGGGCGGAAGAGCGCCGGAGCGGCGCAAATGGGACGCCCCGAGCGGGACACCAGCGGGGGAGCGGAGAAAGAGGTCCACAGGAGAGGGCAAGGAGGGCGCGGCAGGTGCGGAGGAACGTGCGGTAGGGAGTGCGGGTGGGTGGGAAGCGAACGGAAGCTGGTTACTCCGATGAGTGCGCGAGTTACTAAGTTGGCTGCTCGTGCTGCACGGCGCCATGCGTAAGCTCGCGCAGACGGGTAGGTCGGATGGTGAGACGGGTACTACGCTCGAAAGGGCTCGGAGGTCCATGGTAATGGTAACCTCGCTTGATATGCTCAAGTGAAAGCGGATGGGCGGAGCCGAGGAGGAAAGAAGGCGAGGCTGGACCGCCGAGGAGGTAAGAAAGAGAGAGAGGGAGAGTCGAGAACGACTCGACCGGAGCGGAGACTGGACCGGCGGAAGGGGAAGCGGCGGACGTTGAGGACGGGTGGTAGGGGACGGACGGGGAGTAACGGCGAGGACAGTGATGCGGGAGCGACGGTTGAGGGAACGAGTAGAATCGAGGGAATCGAACGAACTAGAGAGCGGACTTGGAGAGACGAGAGAGGAGTGGGTATGGCTGGGTGGCTAACGGCGAATGGTGCGAGGCGGCAGAGCGAGGCGAGTCGGGTCGGAGGTAAGTATACGATGCGGAATTCGGGGATACTGATGGACGTGAGATAAGCGGAAACGAGTAGAGAAAGGATGCAGCGGAACAGGAGGAGCGTAGGGTGTGAGGCGGATGTGCGGCGGAGGCGGAAATGAGGCGGAGGCGGAGGTGAGGCTTGTGAGGGGAAGGCGGGTGCTGCTGAACAGTGACAGAAAATTAAAGGCAGTCTCAGTCTGTGCTGTACGGACGGGGACGGGCGGCAATTCCGAGCAGGGGATACTGGAAAGAGAGGAAAGCCGGCGGAGCGCTACAGCGATTATAAAGAGAATGCCGGAGCTTGAGTGGCTGAGCTCCCTGGAAGAAGAAAAAAAAAGGTGATGAAATCGTCCGACGACAACTGAGCTTCAGAGAACGACTCGCCGAGCCGAGAGAGTATCACGTCACGTTCGTCGCCGTCCAGTCTCCACTTTTGGCGCGGAAACTCCCTCTCACTCCCACTCTTTCTCTTTCGTTCTCTCGCTGACGGGATAGCCCTCTCTCTCTCTTCAATAGACTCTCTTTCGTCTGCTGTTCCTCACGACCCACACTACCTTCGCCAGTTCCAGCAACCCCTCACTGGCCTCGATGCTCCCTAGGAATACTGACAAAACACGCAGCGTACTGTAATGGCTGCTTCTCGGGAACCGCAACCTCAAGCCAAGCCACAATTGTCGCGAAGAGCCCGAGGAGGGAGACGGGGGTTGCAAGGGCGATTTACCCCCAAACGCTTTCCATAAACGTTTTACCTCCACCTTGGGGAGACCGCCCTTCCACTCAGTTGCCAGTCAGGATCGCCTCCTGTCCTTGGAAAACCCGACAGCGCACGGCAGGCGAACCCAGCAGCCAACTGGCAGCCTGTCTGCCATACGAGGGTGGCTCTTCTCGAGGGCTGTTCATTGGTTGTGCGACGAGGGGAAAGCCATGCGAAGATCCGAGGGATCCGTGCGAAGACTTTATCTAGTTTGTGAGTGGTGAATGCCGAACGAGGCGAAGTTCGCGACTTGCGCTGTGGGGGATTTTCGTACCCACACGTGGGTCACCAGGTCAGTGCGCCCACCTCCGACGTGCAAGCCGGTAACTCCACGTGGCAGCAGAAATTCGAATTTCACGTTCGGTCAGTGAGGAAACAAAACTTTTGGGGTATTCCTGAAGTAACAGGGCATAAAGAGTAGTTCGACAATGTTTGACAATCCATGATTTGGTCAACAATGCTAACCCTAGCAGCATAAGCCAATACAAGTCAACTAGACCTAAGCTGTTCAAAATTGCAGTGCACAATAAAAACTTGTGCGAGGGAAATACTACCACATCTAATTGCTAGCCTGCTGCTTTGACGCCGGCTTGCTGTGGTGGCGACGAGACCGGTGCGAAGACTTGGACTTCGAGGAAGGCTTCTTGGCCTTCTTGGACGGTGCCGAAAAAAGGCTGCAGAAACAAATGAAAGGAACACAACGTATATGGAACGATGTCCATGGAACAGCACCTATCAAATGCAAGAAGGGAACTTAAGGGAGGAGATGGGGAGAGGGGAGCGGCGAGGGGGGAGGAGGTGGGGTAGACGGCCATGAAGGAAGGGAGGGCGGAGGGCGGGAGGAGGGGAATAGGAAGGAGTTCATGCAATGAGAAGCAGGGATGGATCAATGGATCATGAGATGGGCACCTGGAGGTCGTGGAGGTGAGCTTGAACATGAGGATAAGCGCAAGGATGTGTGCTGCAATGACCTGCAGACACAGCCACACGCACGCACGCACCCACACACACACACACACACACACACGTGCACGCGCATGCACAGGCATCCACACACGCACCCACCCAACGCACACACCACTCACAACATGGGAAGACAAGAGGTGACATGTGAGTGTGTCTGTAGCCTTGCTTACACACTCATCACCACCACCACCACCACCACCACCACCACCACCACCACCACCACCACCACCACCACCACCACCACCACCACCACCACCGCCATCACCAGTACCACCGCCATCTCCACCACCACCAGCATCATCCCGCACACACCATCCAGTAGAGCGCATCCTCGGGAAGAAGGCATCAGCAGCCACCACCATGTCCCTCACCGCCGCATTGTACCGCTCCCAGTGCTGCCACCACCAGACCACCCAGCCCACTACACTACACCCACCACCACCGCTCTGCAAACATGCGATAACCATCACCACCACTGCACTGCACTGCACACGTGACATGGCTACCTCCCCCCCTCCCACCACCATGAGCCCCACCAGCACGCACCATCCAGTAGAGCGCATCCTCGGGGAGAGCGTCTTCAGTGAAGAAGTCAGCAGCAGCCACCACCATGTCCCTAACCGCCGCATTGTACCGCTCCCAGTGTGGCTGCAGGGGCTTCGCGGCTGCTGCTGCTGCCACCTTTGCCGTCAACAGATGCGGGTCCAGCAGCACGCACAGGGACTGGAGAGAGGGAGGTTATGGGGGGGGAGAGAGGGGAGACGGGAAGGGGAGTGGAGGGGTAAGGGAAGTAGGACAAGAGGCATGGAGGGGCTGCTACTGCTGCCACCTTTGCTGACGACAGATGTGGGTCCAGGAGCTCTCGCAAGGACTAGAAAGAGGGGCGTAGGGAACGAGGCAGGGTGCAAGGAATCACACCAAACACACTAACACCTGACTGGCCAGTCGCAGGCAAGCAAGCAGACAAGCAAGCAAGCCAGCCAGCAAGCCAGCAAGCAAGAAGGCAAGCAAGCCAGCAAGCCCCCAAGCGCACCTCGACGTGTGGCTGCACAGCGGTCCAGGTCTGGTTGATGTGCGGGGACAGCGCGGACTGCACCTGCCCATACACCTCCCCGCCCTTCTCCCCCACCACTGCTGCCAGCGGCGCCAGCGCCACACGCGCCTCCGCCACAGCCTTGCGCGCCACCGGCTGGGAAAGGGGGGACGAGGAAAGGGGAAGGGGGCAGGGGGCAGGGGCAGGGATGGGGGCAGGCGGGTTTTGAGAAGCCAGGGAATGAGACGCGAGGGAGTGAGGGGCAGAGGGCGTGAGAAGCAGAGGGAGTGGGCAGCTAGAGCGTGTGAGTGAGAGGCAGTGCGCACCTGGGTCTGGGCGTGCAGGTTGGTGAGGTGCGGGTGAAGGCTGTCCTTGGCCGCCTGCACACACGCACACACACGCGTGCGCGCCCGCACACACACACACATGAACGTCAGTGGATGATAGTAGATCCAAGGTGTGGTGCAGAGGAGTAGGGGAATGGAATGACAGGCAAGCTCAACTCCTTAGTCTGAGTGGGAAAGTTCCACGAAGGCGTGTTTCTCGGTTTCTTGTGTCTTGATTTGATTTGTTTGTGTGTATCTTTTCTTCTCCATTTGTGGGTTTGCTGGTTTGCCTGTAGTCTGCCTGCTTCACAAAGCAACCAATGCGAGGCATACCTTCATGCCTGCTGAGAGGCTGACTTGTGCACGTAGCAGGCTATTGTCAGTCACAGACTTTGCAGGGTGTTTTTGAGAATTCTCAAAAACACCCTATTGTCAGTCACAGACTTTGCTGCGAATGCCCGCGTGTGTGCCTCTGTGCCTCTGTGCACGCCTGCTTGCCTGCTTGCCTGCCTGTGTGCGTGCATGGAGCGCACCTTGTAAGCGGCAGTGAGCTGGGGCCCAACGGCTCCACCGATCTGCGATACCACATGCACCACCTGCACGCAGGACAGCACGCGATACAGCGGAAGAGGGGGGGGAGAGGCATGGGCGCGGCGGGCAGGGTGGTGGGAGGTGAATGGGAGGGGGATGGGAGGGTGGGGAGGGGGATGGGACGTGGGTGGAAGAGAGCTTAGGAGCGAATGGTGAAGAGAAAACGAGGGGGGGGGGAAAGGACGGGGAAAGGGGTAGAAGGAAGGAGGTGAGACGTCGCAAGATTTGTGTGTGCTAAAAAGTTGGTGGCAGGACATGGCATGGCATGGTATGGTGGGGCATGGCATGGCATGGTGGGGCATGGCATGGCATGGTGGGGAAGAAGGAGCCATACCTCAGCACGAGCAGCAGCAATGGCAGGAAGTGCCTTGTCAGTCCACACAGAGACAATCGAGTCCTGCTCACACACGGGTGGGATGCAACAGCAGCAGCATCAGAGGCATCAGTAGCAGCAGCAGCACCAGCAGCAGCACCAGCAGCACCAGCAGCAGCACCAGCAGCACCAGCAGCAGCACCAGCAGCAGCAGCACCAGCAGCAGGAGCAGCTGCAACAACATCGGAGGCATCCTTAGCAGTAGCAGTAGCAGCAGCAGCAACCACAGCCTCTATAAGCAATGGGATACCAGAGGAGCTTGACGGAACCATAACCCAAACCATCAGCGAAGTCAGCCGAGGGGCAACAGGAAGACGAGGGAAAGATGACGACATAACAACCGAGTAGCAGAGTAACGCGCGTAACAACGCGACAGAGAAACCAGCGCAAGACGGAGACATCAAGAATGTGAAAGGGCGAGGGGTGCGACATAGAGGTGCCTTCACAGAGAGCAAGTGGTCCTCGGCCACGGAGGGACCCACTTGCTATCGTTTGCCGGTGGTACGCAACTTACACGCGGCTTTCACTGCTTTTTTTGTGCAAGGAGAGGCGCGGCTCACCTTGGGAAGAGAGCAGATGGCCCTCGAGCCACGCCGGGACCCCCTTGCTATAGTTGGGGCGCCTTGAAGCCAGCGTCATTTCACCCTGTTCCTATGACAATGACGGGGCAACCAACAGGAGGGCATTCTCACCTTGGCGGAGAGGAGGTAGTCCTCGAGCCACGGCGGCAGCCACTTGCTGGACACCTGCAGCAGCTGCTCGTGCTTCGCGTCCACCTCGCGCTCCAGCCGCGCCAACGAGTCCTGGGGGGATGCGTGAGAGAGGGAATGACAAGGACGAGCAAGATGGGTCATGAGGCAACCACTATACGGTACAGGGCCGGAAGGGGGGGGGGAAGGGGGGTATATTCCGCATGTGGCACCACCCCATCAGCAGCTGCTCGTGCTACCTCCCGCTCCAGCCGTGCCAACGAGTCCTGGGGGAATGAGAGAAACGGGTAAGTTGGTGGAAGAGGCAAAGTAGAGGGAGAGGGGGGTGGGGAGAAAGGACTAAAAAGGCTTAAAAACCCCTACGAAAACCCCCTACAACCAAACCCAACAGGACCGAACCGAACCGAAGCGTACCGTGGTCTCCTTGAGCAGCGTGTTGGAGCGCGTGAGCTTGCCGTGGCACTCCGACGCGTCCTTGGCCGCCGCCTTGGCCTTGACCGCTTCGTCCTTGGCGCCCTTGAGCTCCTCCTGCGCCCGCTTCGCCTCGCGCCTAGTCGCCTCCAGCTCCGCCTTCAGCGCGGCCGCCTGCTGCTCCGCCTGCTTCGCCTGCGCCTCTGCTCGGGGGCAGGGGGGAGGGGGAGGGGGAGGGGATTGGAGGGCGCAGATCGGGTGTGTAGTGTGAGCGATGTGTGAGAGAGCATGAATCACGCAACCAACGATAAAGGGGTGAGGGAGAATGGTGAGCTGGCAAGAAAGAGAGAGAGCTGAAGGAGGGAGGGCCCCGGGGGGGGTTTTGGGGGGGGGGGTTTGAGGCGAAGATGTGATGAGGAAGAAGAGGAGGAAGAGGAAGAGAAGGAGGAGGAGGAGGAGGAGGAGGAGGAGAAGGGGAAGAGAGGGAGGGGGAAAAAGGCACCCACCTTTGGACGAGATCTGTGACTGCAGGCTCTGCTGCTGCGCCTTGCTGTCCGCCACTTGCCCCTCGAGCGCCTTCACCTTCTCCTTCAGCGCGCGCACCTCGCCGCCTGTGCAGAGGAAGCAGGACGCAGGGAGTCGTGAGGGGACAGCGGGGGGTTAGGAGAGAAAGGAGGAAACGCAGGAAAAGCAGTGGATGGAACGCATCGTTTGCACCTAACCGGCTGCAGGCGCGGATAGGGAGGCCGTAACGAGATAAGAGGGGCAGGAGAATCACGAGGGGAAGGGAAGGCGGTAGCATGTTGAAGGCAAAGCCCAGGGTTCTGGATTACTGTGAACGAGTTTTGAGACAAGAGGACTTTTGAGTGGACTCAAAGGTCACCCGGAAACACGGTGGTCTGTCCGAGTAACGGAGAAACCACGACATTGTGCCGTGCGCCCTGTGAATGCCGCATCGTCCGCATCGCGTTCCGTGGCTTGACAACAGCTACCGACGAGAGGAGGCGACAAACGATGATGGGAAGAGACCTGACTAGATTTGGCTGGTGGCTTTTGAGAACTACAAAAAGCCTTGGACGTTGCTGTTGGGACTCGAATTGTTGGAGTCCCAGCAGTTGATCCAGTCAACCCCTGACCAGATCAACTGTCGGGTGGCCTCATACCGGCTCGCCTCGAATGTTGCTGCACGAATCGCCATGATGCGACACGCGCATCAGTCTCCGCTTACTCTCTGTTTGCTCTCGTCCTGTGATCCAATGTGAGGGCAGCGGAGCATGGCCGACCGTCGGATCGGCTGATCAATGGTGCCAGCCAACAGTGATCACGTGATCAGGAGAAGTTGATCCGACGCTCGTCGAGCTCGGCTTGCTAGGAACAGTCAAAACGAGAGGGATCAGATCAGAACTTACCAGATCAGATCGATTCAACAGGATCGGATCGGATCGGATCGGATCAAATCGGATTCGAGAGTATCAAACGGCTCAAGGTACGGCGCAGGTGTAATCTACTGACAAAATCTAACCACGCAATCTGAATGCCGTCTTGCTCACTGCATGGCAGCGGATCAGTGGATTAACGGCGCGATCTTAACACCACCATCCGAACTTGAAAGGGGAGTATCGCACAAAACGAAAGCGGGTGTCTCTAAGCTGCTCGAGGATCTGGTGATGTACGCTTCTCATCCCAGAACCTCCAGTTTTGAGGCGCCTCAAAACAAAGCTGCTTGAGGATCCGGTGACGTAAGCTTCTCATCCCCGAACCTCTTAACAGTCGGAACTCAAAAGTTGACACAACTCTTCAGTCTTATTTTCTCGCCACATAAGAGTTCGTCATTTCCCCCAGTTTCTCTGTCATCAAGCACTAGAAAAAATTGCTAACAAAATCTACTGGCATAACCGTTTTAGGCATCCGATCCAAGCACCTCTTTCTTAACTCACCCTGATCGCCCGCTTTCTTCTCCGCGGATTGCGCCTTGCTCGTCAGCTCCGCCACGTCCTTGCGGAGCTTCCCCGCCTCCGCCTCGCACGCGCGCGTCTTCTCCCCCGCGGTTTGCGCCTCCGCGCGCACACCCGCCACCGCCGACTCCGCGGAGTCCGCGCGCGCCTTAGCCGCCGAAAGATCCGCCTTGACCTTGGTCACGAGATCCTCGCACCGCGCCTTGCCCTCGCGCTCCGCGGCGCACGCGTCATCGTCGGCCGCAGCGAGATCGACGACGCAGATCGAGGAGACCAGCAGCCACGCGCAGATCGCGAGGGAAGCCCATCTAACCGTCGGATCCATTCGCTGCCTCATGATTGGTAGAGAGGTATCGAATAGATCGCGGAGGCTAGCTGAAAACGTGGAGATCTTGTCCTGACGAGCTGAAATCAGGAAGCACTATCGATCAACGACAAGGCTCGAGGTCTTTCCTGGGCACCTAGTCACGTCGACCTGAAAGAGAGACTCGAGATTCGAGACCACCAGCGGTGCAGTGTACAGCCCAGATACTGGACGGGAGTAGACAAGGGAGGAGGGGGAAGCGAAAGTGGATTTGCGGATTTGCGTGTTGTGGTTACACCAAGGATTCGGGAATGTCGGGAGGGGGGAGGAGTGAGTAGAGCAGGCAAGCAGATGTGACGGACCGATCTGGTGATGGATGGTTGTGATTGCGCGAGGAGCGAGCAGCCAGGAGAAGGGAGCACCGAATTGGACGACATCCCTCTATTTGACGTGGCGGGCAGGCAGGCAACAGGCGAGTGATGTGAAGCTGGTGACGAGGGAAGGCAAGGACCAATCGAGACCGTCAATCGCGAAAATCAACGCATGATGTTCGGCAAACTTGACGGAATGGGGATGGATGGACGGACGGATTGCAGTGAAATGAAACCATCGCATACGAGGGTTAGGGGCAACTGTGACGGGAATAAATTGTTCCACCTTCAACAACGCTTGCACCGTGACTGAATGGATTGAAAATGTTCATGGAAAGTTGGAAAACATGAAAAGAGGAACTACCGCAACTGTTATCATTTACATTTCAAGTACCGAAGTAGGAAGCCCTACAGGTACAGTAGTAGCCCCCTGAGATCAGCACAGACTATCCTACCCAACCTATGAGCCTCTACAACTCTAGCATACCAGCACCTACCGTATCTCACCACCAAAATGGCACTCCACGTGCTCCACCTGTACAAAGATGCAGCTACCGAGAATGAAGGGAATGAGCTTTGATTCCATATGTACAAGCGGATGGCTGCTTCTGTATGAAGATTTACACCATCCTGTATGCAGGGGGTTGGACAAGGGGGTTCGGAGAAAACAAACACGGTACCGGTAAGACAACGCAATAGCAGAAAAGAACCACTGAACTACCAGCCAGACACACAACACCACAGCCATATACCAGATTGTCCCAACCCCCTCTTCGACATCCCCCAAATTCATCCTCCCACCTCTCACCTCCTCGCCGCTTTCCCACACACCTACTCATCGCCTCTCATCCCTTTGCTGCGGTGGGCCCCACGCAGCAGTGCTCGTAGGGCGGCGGGGGGGCGGCAAGCGAGTCGTAGAGGTCCCGGAGCGCGTCGTATAGCGGGCGCGCGGCCATGGGCTGCGCGATGCGGCCGAAGAGGATGTCGGTGGTGCTGACAGGCATGCCGTAGAAGCGCTGGTTCACCGACGCGCAGGACGCCACCACGCTCGACTCCCACGACATGCCCACAAATGCACCTGGGGTGGAGGAGGGCCGGAGAGGGAGGGGGAGGGGGGGAGGAAGTATAGCCAGGCATGGGGGAGGAAGGAGGCAGAGGTTTAGGGGAGATGATGGAACAAAGGGACGTGCAGGATGACACCATGCTCAACGCCCATCACATGGCCACAAACGCAGCTGGGCGAATCGAGGAGGACAGGGTGAAGCAGGAATGGACTCCAAAAGCATCACCAGGCAGGAAAGAGGGCTCCTGCGACTCACAGTGACGTTAGGAAGAACTACAAGGCTAGCAGGCGTAGCATACCATTGCTGCAGCTGTGCGTGTCGCACGTGGAGAAGTCCGTGCCCCCCGCCCGCACATCTGCCTCCACAGCAGTCGAGTGGAGGAGATAACGAGCACCAGCGAGGGCCTCATGAATTGACAATGACATCAACCAAGCTAGCTGCTGGCGTACCCTTGCTGCAGCTGTATGTGTAGCAAGTGGAGAAGCCCGTGCCCCCCGCCCGCACATCCGCCTCCACAGCGCGCCCCACAGGCCCAGCGGCGGCACTGGCAGAGGCGCCCACGGCCACGTGGTAGCGGCTACAGAAGGCCTTCATGGCCTCCAGGCTGCGGATCACCACTATCAGATCCGCAATCTCGCCGCCCATCTGTAAAAGGGGGGCGGGGGGCAAGAGGAGGGGGGGGGGAGGGTTGGGGAATGCATTAACAAGGGGGTTGAGGGGGATGGATGGTTGCAGCTAGCACGCCACTGCCATGGCTGCACAAGGCCTTCACCACCTTCATGGCTGCTGCATATCACCGCTTCGCATTCCCGCCGCCCATCTCGTGGTTGAAGGGAAGCCGTTTGGCGGGGATGCATGAACACAGTGGGAAGGTGGGTGAGAACGAGGGGAGGGGGGGGGGGGGGGCGACTGCCACGGCGCCACGTGGTAGCTGCTGCAGTCTGCCGAAGGCCCTGAGGGCTTCCCAGATGCAAATCATGACTCGATCTCATCACCCATCTGGCGTTTCGGAAATTACGGAGGAACGGGAGTCACGGAAGGAAAGACTGTGGTGGTGGTGGTGGTGGCGTGGGGACACGAGGGGACGCGGAGAAGAGGAGAGAAGGAAGAGAGCAGGGGGGATGAAAAAGAGGGAAAGAAGGGCGATGGAGAATTGGTGAGAAGGGACACCATGAACACCACCCCTCAACATTGCAACCCAACCTCACCTCACCTCACCTCACCTCACCTCACCCCACCCCCAACACCATGTCCACCCCCTCCCCACCCTTCCCTCCTACAAGCCCCCCATGCCCCGGCCTCCCCACCTGTGCGCCCCAGCCCACTCCCGCGGTGGCGATGGCGGAGGGAGCACTCCACTGCCTGTCGGGCTTGAGGCACACCACGAGCCCCGTGCCCACGCGGTACGTCACTCCCACGCCCGCCTTCGCCACTGTCAGAATCGCCAGCCCCACCGCGCCCCCAAGCACCGCCGCTGGGATCGACCGCTCGGGGTTCAGTCTCCCCACCTGGAAGGGAAAGCAAGGGAAAGAAGGGAGTGCAGGGCGGAATAGGGAGTGGGGAAGCGGGAGGGTGCTTTTGAGTCGACTCACAAGCAGAATCGCCAGCCCCATCGCGCCCCCCAGCACCGCCGCTAGGATCAACTGCTCCGCCGCCCAAGGTTCAGCCTCCCCACCTGGAGGGGACCCAAGGGAAAGAGGGGAGTGCAGGGAGGATTAGCGGGTGCGGGGGAGAGGGAAATGTGAGGAGAGGAGGCGAACGGAAAACACCCACCCGAGACCACAGAAGGAATACGGGAAGCCACTAAGATAAAAAGCACCAACAACCTAACCTACCAACCAAGCAACCAACCAACAGACGGTGACACAGCAGCCAGAAAACGGGGTTCCCCACCTGCGAGTACCCCCTGAGCGCGTTCGTGGCCTTGAAAATCTCCTCCTGCAGGCTCCACCCAAGGGGGTTGTTCACCCACGCCCGCACGCTCGTAGCATCCGTCACATCGTGCAGCGCCCGCTGCGCCGCCCCTGCCACAGTCACCACCAGCTGCGGCTGTAAGGGCTCGAGCTGGTCGTAGCAGCGCTCGCACACGCGCTGCGGCTCGGACTCGCGGAAGAGAGGCGGGAGGAGGCAGGATCGCGCGCTGCAGCTGTGGCAGAGCAGCAGCCCGCAGAACCTGAGAAGGGGGAGACGGGGACGAGGGGGACAGGGGCGGGAAGGAGAAGGAGCAAGGGAAGAGACTCAGGAAACAACAGGAAGGGGAGGATTGGGGAGGGAAAAAACGGAAGACAAAGGGAGGCTGGGAGGGGGGGGGACATCGAGGACAGGCGAGAGAAGAGAGAGAGGAGCGGATAAGGGAAGAAGTGGGGCGTGAGGGTGAGGAGGGGGAGAGAGAGAGACAGAGTGGGGAGCTAGGGGACGAAGTGGGGAAGCAGAAGCAGAGGGCAGCACGCAGACCTGCAGTGGTGTCTGGTGCGCACAAGCATCCTGAACGGTTCCTTGCACACCATGCGCACCATGCACACCATGCGCACCATGCGCACCATGCACACCATGAAGACCCACTATTTTTCAGGCGCCTAAAAAATGGCAGCACGCACCTGCAGTGGTGTCTGGTGCGCACGAGCGGCCTGAACGGCTCCTCACAAACCATGCAACTCGTCAACCCACTGTCCGGCACCCACTCGGTGGGACAGGTGTATATTGAGCCCACTCACTACACCCGGAAAGAGAGGGCAGCACGCACCTGCAGTGGTGTCTGGTGCGCACAAGCGGCCGGAACGGCTCCTCACACACCATGCACCTCGTCGACCCACTGTCCGGCACCCACTCAGTTGGATGGGTGTATTTTGAACCAACTCACTACACCCCGAAAGAAAGGGCAGCACGCACCTGCAGTGGTGTCTGGTGCGCACAAGCGGCCTGAAAGGCTCCTCACACACCATGCACCTCGATGACCCACTGTCCGGCACCCACTCGGGCGGCAGTGCCGCCCACAGCTCGTCAAACGTCCGCCCCCCAACCACTCCCCCGATTCCGCCCCTCACGCCCCCCATGCCGCCTGCGCCCATCCCTCTCCCCGCGCCCCCTTCCCATGGCGCAACCTCCCCGTCGCGTCCCCATAGCCCAGCAGCGCTCCCCCCATTGTCCTCCCCCTCCTCCTCTCCCCCCCATCCCGCCCCGTCCACGTGCGTGGGCGCGCTGGGCGCATGCAGCGGCGCCCACTGTTGCCCCCCCTGATCCCCCCGCTGCAGTTGGTAATCCGGCAGGAACCCTGGCGGCGTTTTACCGTTAACGAAACCCTGATACTGCGGATGCGCGTGGATGGCAGCCGCGTCTAATCTCCCCCCTCCATTCCCTCCCCCTCCCCCTCCGCCCACTCCATTAAACCACGCGCCTTCAGTAGGCGGACTCCCTTCACTGCCGTCCCCCTCATCCCCGCTCTCCCCGGCATCTGGCGGAATGACCCCTCTACCTCCGCCACCGCCACCGCCGCCGCCGCCGCCGTTGGCGGGCGAGTGGGAGGACGAGGACGGCTGTGGCGCGTAGAAGAACTGTTCTCGCTCGCGCGCACGGCTCTTAACGCGGTCAACCATGCTGCTAAACACCCCGCGCATCGCGCGCGCGCCGCTGCTGCCGATGCTGCAGGCGATGTTGCCGCCGCCAATCGCGCCGCCGATCGCGCCGCCGATCGCGCCGCCGACGTGCGGGCCGGGGAAGCCGTTGTGCGGGCTGGGGAAGCCGCCATAAGCCGCGGAGTGGGGGCCGCTGGTGCTGGAGGCGTGGCGCGGAGGCAGGGAGCCAGGCGCGTAGGGCGGCGTGTTGCATGGCATTCGCACGGCCCTCCCCCGCTGCGAAGGATAGGCGGGACGAAAGACCCCAGGGAAGGAGGGTAGGGAGCACGGAAGGGAGATGGATGGGACCCCAGGGGTGATGAAAGGGATGTGTGGGATGCGTGCCTGCCACGTGTTAAATCGCGTGTGAGGGAGAGAGAAAGAGAACAAACACCGAGCATATGACGGATTGGGAGATACTGAGGGAGGGGGGACGGAGGAGGAGAAAGAGGGCAGGGGAGGGGGGAGGAGGGGGAGGGGGGAGAGGGGAAGAGAGGAGGAAGGGAGGGAGGAAAAGAAAGAGATTCTTCGGCAGGGGGGCACATGCGCGCACCATAGCAGCGGCCACGGCGGCACTCGCCTCTTCCGCCGCCCTCTCCGCGACCTCCGCCTTCTCCCGCTCCTTCTCCAGCTCCTGCGCTGCGCGCCGAGCCACCTCCTGCGACTGCTGAATGCTCGCCAGCGCGTCGCGCAGGTCGCAGTTGAGCTTGATGGGCATCGCCTTGCGAAACGACGCGCGACAGATCGGGCAGTGCGGCGACACCTGCGACTGCTGCACCTGCTCGCACGCACGCACGCACGCACGCACGCACCCGAATCGCACGGGCATGAAGAAAGGTTGTTAACCATCTCAGAAACTTCAGAAACTCGAGAAAACATAAACGAGGTGCGCGAGAACGAAAACCGAGACACAGGGGACTCGACGCCGCGGTTGCAAGCATCAGGCCACATCCAATGCGTGAGGAGACTATTTTTGCAAAAATCCGATGCCTAAAAAATACGACACGGTTGCACGCATCAGACCACACAATCCGATGCGTGCCATTCCAAGAGAGAGAAACATCGACCGAAGGAAGAAAGGAAGCGGGGAGCGAAAAAAAGCACCAGACAAGCGGGCCGGGAAGCAGAAGAAGCCAGTGCCAGATGTTCCGAGGGAACTTAGCCCAGGGGTTCGGAAAGCACGGATAGACTGCAAGAACAAGAGAGCACTGGGGAGAGTATGGTCCGGGGAGAGAGTCCGAGTCTGACCTGCAGGAGACACTCGAGGCAGCCGTTGTGTCCGCAGGGAAGCGACGACGGACCACCCTTGGTGCCCAGCGCCTGCAGACATATCGCACACGTCGGCGCCTCCTGGGAATCCGCGTCCCCGGATGAGGAGGAGGAGGAGGTGGGGGTGGTGGGGGGTGGGGCGGACGGGGAGGGCGAGGAGGACGGGGACACCGACTCGGCTCGTGTGGGCGACTCGTGGAAGGAGCTGGCGCCGAGTCCTAGACCGACTGGTTCGCGTCGTGCCCGCGAGTCGGGGAAGGAGCTCGCCGAGAAGATCGGCGCGTCGGACGGCGGCGGCGAGAGAGAGGGCATGGAGGAGAGGACGGGGGTGGTGGACCGCCCCGGCGCGAGGAGCGCGGACTCGACCGACTCCATGAACTCATCCATGGCGGACGGACGGAGGGGAACGGGGATGGGGAACGGGGACGGAGACGGAGATGGAGACGGAGACGGAGACGGGCCGACCGTGCGGACGAGCGAATGGGAGTCGATTAGACGCGCCTGGGAAGATGCAGCAGTGTGAAGGTGGACGGGCAGAGGGAGGAGACGACGAAAGAGTTCAGGAGGTAAATTAAGAGTCGACTGGACGACCGTGTGGTTCTAGAAGCGCGAATGCAAGATTACGGCGAAGAGACAGAAGGTTTGCAATCACTGCGAAGAAAGTGACTGAAGGCTCGCAATCGCGGAGGGAAGGGAAGAAGAGCGAGAGGAGACTGTGCGAGACGAGGTGAGGAAGGTATGATGGCGAGACGGCGAAGAGACGAGGCACGGACGGCCAAGATAAGAGGGAACCAGGGAGGAGAACGGACTCATTGAACTGGGGAACGATGACGACGACAGAGCTACGGGAAGGGGATTCGGCGAAAGCGGAGTATCGCACTATTGGGAGGCGGTTCTGTAACTCATCAAGAGGAAAAAAAAAGGCTGGAAGAATCGGAGATGTATCTGATGAGGCGCCAGATAGATTACTTTTAGGGTCACCGGTAAGAAGGAAACGTAGGTAGGAGAGAACTGACCGAAGCGCTAGGTAAGCAGCTCGTCCCACTGAACGAGTCTAGATCAGGCAGCCATAAGTTCTGGTCAGTCAGGATTAAACTATCCACTCAACAAAGACGCAACAGCGGTTCCAAGAGAGGTGCAGTCGGCTCACAATCGGTAGGGTTGGAAAATCCGCTTGTGCAAAAAAGGTCAGCCATGGATTTGGAGAGGTGATGGCAAGGAAAGATAAGCAGAGGAGTGCATGATGATCGCAGATGCAGGGACGGGCGAAAGGAAGTATTTTTCGCCAATAAGGTAACAACTTTCGTCGACAAATACAGTATACGTGCTTTGGAGCGAATGGCGGAAGGCGTTCGGCTCGACACGGTCTGGACAAGCCTCGTGTGTCTCGTTTGGCCCGGACCTGGCGCCTGGATGGCCTGATAGGCTCACTGATGGCTGGGCAGCAGGCAAGGCAACCCAGTGTTGAAGGGTTTGACAGGGTATTTGCTACCAAGCCGTATTTCATTGCGAATAAAAAGCTTTGGGCTTACTGACACTCTCAGCAGCATACAGTCTTGCGATGACACCGACTTCGCAAGGCCAAGCACTGAAGGACACAACGACACGAGAGCTGATTGGTTGTCTACGAACCAAGGCTGACCGCTGATTGGTAGCGAAGAACAGCCCACCAACATGTACCTGACTGGACACCGAGAGAACCAGCATGACCGCATACCCCGGTCTGCGTTTCTTCAGAGAACACCATAAGCAGCAGAGTAGATTGTTAAAAAAATGAGTACGCCCGTCCTCCGCCATTTTCTCAGCTCACTGTTCAGAAACTGTAGCTTGTCGATAAACCAGAAACCAAGACCTTCTTACGAGAAGCAAACCAACTTTACCATTGGCAATTCTACGACCTTCTCTTCTTTCCTCTATACTATTATACAAATTATGTATCTATTTGTTCTTATCTTGTTCTAATCATGTATTCATTCCGACAACTTCAACAACCAATCACAACATTCCTGCAACCAATATTTTATGAGCGTTTAATATTGAAGATCCTACCGGGCCATTATCATCACATTACATGGCTAGCTAGGTCTCCTCATATTCCTTTGTATTCTTATCTAAATCATTGTATCTATATCGTTTTTTATTTTGTGATTTCAAGTTCACTCTGACAAGGTTACCAACCAGTCACAACTCTTTCACTATATTCTCCGACGCGGGTGTTCAATCCTTAAGATTCTATCATCCATTTTTATTGCATCATGTTACAAAAAAAACACAAACAATTATATAGCAGAGTACTGTTGTTGTAGGAAAGAGCCTAGGAAGCAGTCATAGGAAGGTGGCGAGGTTTTAGGTGCTAGGAGGAAGTAACGAGACAGAAGATAGTCAACTAGGAATAGAGTGAGACACAAGAAGGGGGCTTGTCCCCTCTACAGTAGGATTCAGTAAAGTAGAACGACTATTAAGCATAAAAGTAATTATAATAAGATATATAATTTCACACACCCCCTAGGCTTGGTAGTGGCAAGCCCACGCTACATGCAGCACTCCTACATCTTTGCACACCCATGCCTTGCAGCAGCAGTGGCGTCGTCAGCGTGGTCGACCTCTTCACGGGCGAGGCGGCGATGTCGGCTGCGAGGGCAGTGCCGGCGGCGGCAGAGGTAGACGCGGCGACGACGGTACGACGACATCGGCGGCAACGACGGTGGGTGGCGGCAGAGCCGGCAGCACCTGCGACATCGACGACGCGGCAGCTGCGACAGAGACTGCGGCACCCGGCGACGTGGTCCGGCTCAGCAACGACGGGACCGAACGGCGCGAGACAGCCATCAGCTGCCGCGGAGAGGAGGGGAGATGCAGGGGAGGGGGCAGGGCTTCAGCGGTGGTGGGCAAGCTAGCGTGCAGGCGAACTGGACATCGCTAAACCGGGCACTGTCCGCTGCCGTCCGTGCGCTGGCGCGTCGACGACGCCACAGCAGCACGTCTATGCTGCCATGACAGCAGGAGGACGCTGCCACGGCAGCACGACGCCGCCGCCACAGCGTGGCGTCGACGCCACAACAGCATATTGAGGCCGCAACGGCGACGCATCGAGGCCACCATGGCAGCCCGACGAGGCCGCCACGGCGGCGCAATAGTAAGAAGAGGGGAAGAAGTGTCAAAAATATCTTTATATGTTATATAGCCTATATGGGGTCGTACCTTAGAGGGTACAAACTCCTTAGCATATATTGTCATGTATGCTTTCATTTATATCGTTACTTTACGTTAAGATGGTATCGGAGCAGGCCCCGTTCCCCCCCGCCTACCGAATTCTGCCCTAGGCCCGTGTCGCTCCCGTCGAACAGCCGACCCCGTTCCCTCGATGGCCCCGTCACCTCGCGCGCCCCGTCTCCCAGCCGCCCTTGTCATTTCGCGGGCCCCATTATCTTAGACGACCCCGTTCTTTCGCGGGCCTCGTTCTTTTAGATGGCCCCGTCATTTCGCGGGCCCCGTTTCTCTTAGACGGCCCCGTCGTACAACCGGCCCCAGTCGCCTCGCTGGCTCCTTCGTCTAGCCGGCCCCGATTCCTAGCCGCAAGCCCCATTCCTAGCCACCAGCCCCAATCCTTGCTCCCAGCCCCGTTCCTAGCCGCCAGCCCCGTCCCTCAACCGCCGGCCTCGTTACCTAGTCTCAGGCCCCATAGCCTAGCCGCCAACCCCGTCAGCTAGCCTCGGCCCCGTCAGCTAGCCCCGGCCCCGTCATCTAGCTCCGGCCCTTTGAAGCTAGCCCCGGCCCTGTCAGCTAGCTCCGGCCTCATCAGCTAGCCCCGGCCCCCTGCAGCTAGCCCTGGCCCCGTCAGCTAGCCCTGGCCCTGTCAGCTAGCCCCGACCCCTTGCAGCTAGCCCCGGCCCCCTGCAGCTAGCCCCGACACTGTCAGCTAGCCCCGGCCCCGCCAGCTAGCCCCGGCCCCTTGCAGCTAGCCCCGGCCCCCTGCGGCTAGCCATAGCCCTGTCAGCTAGCCCCGTCCTCGTCAGCTAGCCCCGGCCCCGCCAGTTAGCCCCGGCCCGCTGCAGCTAGCCCCGCCCGCAGCAGCTAGCCCCGGCCCCTTCAGCTAGCCCCGGCCCCGTTAGCTTGACGGTACGCTTCCCCGCCCTGACCCCCCTGCTCCTCTACCCGCAGACCCCACATCTGTCGACCGTGACTCTGCTACCACTGCAGCGCTTGCCCGCTCTGTCTGGTTGTCTCGTGACGCTGTCGCCCAGCTCGTGATCAGCCACGCCCTGCCCCGTCTGAGCGCCCCCGCTTTAGGTTGGTCAGGATGCCAAGGAATTCCTAGAGGTTGTTGTCGCGCTTTGTTCTAACCCGCCCGCTGCCTCCGTCGGCCACCTGATCCTGCCTATGCTCTTCCCTGACCTCACCTCTTTCCCCACTGTCGCTGACCTGGCCACGCACTTGCGCACTCTAGATGCGATCTGGCGGGCTGCCTCCACTGTGGCCCAGCTTCGTGTGTTCCAGCCCCCCTCACCTCCACCCTCTATCTGCTTGCCACCCGCCTCCCTAACCGCCTTGCCACTGCCCGCGACCATTTTCTCAGTCTTCACCCCGCTGACCTCACCCTTACTGACTTCGTAGACACCCCAGCTGCCATAGAGCCCCGTCAGCGCCCTATCGCCCAGTCTAGCGGTACTACGCCGGTCCCTATCTTTCAGGGTTGTGCCCTCGCCCAATGCTCTTACTCTGATGGTTCTGCTGCTGTCGCTGAGACCGCCCGTGCGGAGAACACAGCCGCTGTGGCGCAGTTCAGTATGGGTAAGGGGCGTCGCCCCAAGGTTGGGCGCGGCGGGGGTATCGGAGGAGGGGGTGGAGGCGCTGATGGTGGCGGGTCGCCGGCTGGTTATACTGACGAGGGGACTGGGGCTGGTGCTGCCGCGCAGCAGCCTCAGCAGCAGCAGCAGGTGCCCTCCCTGGACAAGCAGCAGCAGCTGCCCTCCCTGGACCAGCAGCTGCAGCAACAGCCGCAGCAGCAGCCGCAGCAGCAGAGCTGGTTTGGTCGTCTCCCGCCCGGGTGGCCCGGCGCCCGTGGTGGAGGTGGCAGCAGTGATCATGCGCGCAGCGTGCCGTGGGGTGGTGGTGCGAGTAACAGGCGCTGCCAGTACTAGCTCCAGACCGGTCCTCGCCGTGGCCTCGTGTGCGGTAAGATCGTTCATACCCCAGCTCGCTGTTTTCGTCGCCTGGACGACCTGTTTCGTCCCCGCTTCAAACCCAGCACCGGACCTTCCAGACTGGCACAGTTTGCTGCGCTGTGATGTTAGGATCTTTGACATGGACATGGATGCGATTAGCTCTGCCTTGTATGCCTTGTATCTTGATGACTCTAGTGTGACTGGTTCTTATTGCCTTGTGTTACCTAGCGTAGGTGTGCCCAGTGTGTCTAGTTCAGCCTCCCCTACTACGCCAGGCGTAGGATCCTCTGCCCTATATAGCCTTGGCTCCACCCTTGCTCCTCCGCCGCCGGTCGCCACTTCTGCGCTCTCCTTCACCCTCAACTCCGGCGCGTCCCGGTGTTTCTTTCGAGACTCCAATACACTTACACCGCTTGCCGCTCCAGCCGCAAATGCCCTTGCCGACCCTTCCTCCGGTCCGGTAGTTGCCCGTAGTTCCACCACCCTCCCCTGTCCGGTGGTTCCCTCAGGCTCTCTTATAGGCCTGCACATCCCCTCGTTCTCTAAGAACCTAGTTGGTGTCGGCTGCCTCTAGGACCTCGGCGTCAGCACTACGTTTCCTGGTCACGAGCAGTACGCAGTCTGTACCGAGGCTGCCACTGGTGCTCCCCTCACCACGTTCCTCCGGGACCCGGTGTCTGGCCTGTTAGCGCTGGACACCGCGTCCCCCCCAGCCATGACGCTTTCCCAGGTGGCTGTGTCTACCCAGATTACTGCGGCTTGCTCAAGTCGGTCGCTTACGCACCCGTCGCTTTTGTGGCACCACCGTCTAGGTCACCCTGCTCTCCCCCGCCTTCGTCACATGTCTCAGTACGGTCTTGTCCTAGGTCTCCCTGCGTCGTTCCCTGCGCTCTCCCCATCTCCTGCGCCGCCCTGCACTCCCTGCGTCGAGGGTCAGCTCCGCCGTGCCCCCCACTCCTCCTCGTTCCCCCCCACCACCGCACCACTACAGACCCTACACAGGGACGTTTGGGGCCCCGCCCCCGTCCA